ACACACCTTGTTTACCGTAAACACCTTGTTTACCGTACACACCTTGTTTACCATACACACCTTGTTTACCGTAAACACCTTGTTTACCGTACACACCTTGTTTACCGTACACACCTTGTTTACCGTACACACCTTGTTTACCATAAACACCTTGTGTACCATAAACACCTGTTTACCATAAACACCTTGTGTACCGTAAACACCTTGTTTACCGTACACACCTTGTTTACCATACACACCTTGTTTACCTTACACACCTTGTTTACCATAAACACCTTGTTTACCATACACACCTTGTTTACCGTACACACCTTGTTTACCGTAAACACCTTGTTTACCGTACACACCTTGTTTACCGTACACACCTTGTTTACCGTACACACCTTGTTTACCGTACACACCTTGTTTACCGTACACACCTTGTTTACCGTACACACCTTGTTTACCGTACACACCTTGTTTACCGTACACACCTTGTTTACCGTACACACCTTGTTTACCGTACACACCTTGTTTACCGTACACACCTTGTTTACCGTACACACCTTGTTTACCGTAAACACCTTGTTTACCGTGAACACCTTGTTTACCGTACACACCTTGTTTACCGTAAACACCTTGTTTACCGTACACACCTTGTTTACCGTACACACCTTGTTTACCATACACACCTTGTTTACCGTACACACCTTGTTTACCGTAAACACCTTGTTTACCGTGAACACCTTGTTTACCGTACACACCTTGTTTACTGTAAACACCTTGTTTACCGTACACACCTTGTTTACCGTACACACCTTGTTTACCGTACACACCTTGTTTACCGTAAACACCTTGTTTACCGTGAACACCTTGTTTACCGTACACACCTTGTTTACCGTAAACACCTTGTTTACCGTACACACCTTGTTTACCGTACACACCTTGTTTACCGTACACACCTTGTTTACCGTACACACCTTGTTTACCGTACACACCTTGTTTACCTACTACCTTGTTTACCGTACACCTTGTTTACCGTACACACCTTGTTTACCGTACACACCTTGTTTACCGTACACACCTTGTTTACCGTACACACCTTGTTTACCATGAACACCTTGTTTACCGTAAACACCTTGTTTACCGTACACACCTTGTTTACCGTACACACCTTGTTTACCGTACACACCTTGTTTACCGTACACACCTTGTTTACCTACTACCTTGTTTACCGTACACACCTTGTTTACCGTACACACCTTGTTTACCGTACACACCTTGTTTACCGTACACACCTTGTTTACCGTGAACACCTTGTTTACCATACACACCTTGTTTACCGTACACACCTTTTTTACCGTACACACCTTGTTTACCGTACACACCTTGTTTACCGTAAACACCTTGTTTACTGTACACACCTTGTTTACCGTAAACACCTTGTTTACCGTACACACCTTGTTTACCGTAAACACCTTGTTTACCGTACACACCTTGTTTACCGTACACACCTTGTTTACCTACTACCTTGTTTACCGTACACACCTTGTTTACCGTACACACCTTGTTTACCATTAACACCTTGTTTACCGTACACACCTTGTTTACCATTAACACCTTGTTTACCGTACACACCTTGTTTACCGTACACACCTTGTTTACCGTACACACCTTGTTTACCGTAAACACCTTGTTTACCGTACACACCTTGTTTACCACTCGCTTAAAGCTCCATGGCGCAGTCCGCAACCTCCATTTAAAATTGGAATCATCGAGAATATTCTATATAAATAAAGCGCTCTACCTAGCATTTACCTGTTATGAACCTTTTTCATCTGTAGTAGTACCCCAGTAATTACCCTGTAATCGGGTAATTTGTATGGGGTAAGGGTAAAAGGTAGGGTAAAAGTAGGCTCGTTGCTTTTACCTTTTACCTTACCTTGCCGAGGCCTATGTGTAGGCAACCATCTTACACTCCACTGACCAATGAGCTCTAAGCACGTCTTCGAGCACGGACATTTGTTCAACCGATGTTTGTATTACCATGTTTTTTTTTATTCTTCCTTGAGCCGGCTTTGTCGATACCACCCGGGGTAGCAAATGTTCAGTAATTTTGATGAAGGATTTCTATCACTCGAGTTTCCATCTACTATACGAGACTGTATTCGCTCTTTTACGAGAAAAAAACGCCGTTGAAGGGTACCATAGTATTCCATAGTAAACATGGCTGACATTGCACCAACGTTGGCTCAACATCAACCAACGTTGGCTCAACGTTTGCATCGCCTTAAAGAGAATATCACTTGGGGAGGGTGTGTAGAAGCACGTGACATTAAACACGCGTGTAATATGAAAATACAGTACGCATGTTGAACTTCTTTTACAAAGTACGTAGCCAATCGTGCTAATCGGAGGTGCGGCAGGTCAACTAAACACAAAACGCAGTTCTAATAAAAGAGTTGTTCATTTAGATAGCTCCAGTGGCTTCCTAATAAGGGGCCGTCCATAAATGACGTCACGCACCTAGGGGAGGGGGGTCAGACATTTGGGACAATGTGTGATGAGGGGGGGGGGGGTGAGAAATGTGACGTCACATCAAAATGCGCAACTTTAAATAAATATAGAATTAAATTTTGATTTAAAGCTTTCGTGACTGCAGTAATTCATATTCTAAGTTTTTTCGGTAAAGTCACGTTGAAGAGAAACAACAAAATAACAAAATATATATAAAACAATAAAAAAATTCTCACGACGTTTCGACCATAACTCAAACGGTCATCTCTTCAACGTGACTTTACCGAAAAAACTAAGAATATGAAATATAGAATTGTTATAACGACACTAATTGTTATAACAACACTCCTACAACATCAGAGTGCAGCGCCACATTGAATACGCACTACAATGACAATAGTTTAAAGCGATTTGAACCGTAAGATTAATTCCTGCAGTCACGAAAGCTTCGAACCAAGTTTAAACCGCCTCTACGGGGAGGTATAAGGTCTGTATCTTTGTGTCTGTCTTTGTGTTGTCTTGTGTTGTCTTGTGTTGTCTAAGTGTTGTCTCTGCTTGTGTATCTGCATTTGTGTCTGTGCTTGGATTTGTTTATCTGTGTTGTCTCTGCCTATGTGTGGGTCTTGGTGCTTCTGAGTGTTTGCTGCCTTGCTCTACTTTGCTCTATGCATACCTCATGCTAAAATGTCCCATTGTCTCTCAGCCTTGCCTTCTCATGCTAATATGTCCCATTGTCTCTCAGCCTTGCCTTCTCTGCCTATTTAAGGCGACTTCACTGTGCTTGTACCTGTGCTGGTCCGCTCTACTTGAATGTCTATGTGTGTGTGTGCCGTCTGTATCTTAAATTTCATACTTAGCTTGCAATTTAGCAATCTTTGAAATAGCGTAATCAACCAGGCTATGCGTTAATTGTATTTTGACCGACCGTCTGTGTTGCTTTACATGGTTTCCAAATTCTGCTAAACTCTGTCTGTCTGGTATGCTTCTCTCTCTGTGTCCCCTGTTGTATCTGTGTTAGTTCCCCCTACTTGGGTGTCTGTATATACATCTGGGGTTATGTGTTTCCCCTCTCTCGTAAATTTAGCTCTTCTGTACCTGATGATGGCTGCTTGTGTTGCAACCGAAACGTCGTACGCTATTATGTTATTTTATTATTTCTTACTTATACGTGACTTTACCGAAAGAACCAAAGATTAACGATTTGAAACACGTTTTATTTTCAAAATGGAAATATGGTTTGGGGGGGGGGGGTCAAAAATCGTCCAAAATCGCGTGACGTCATTTATGGACGGCCCCTCAGACATAAAGGGTGTCTATAAAAAAGGCAAGATATACGCTCAGCTTATCTGCCAATTGTGACTACTGCCCATAGATGATAACCGGTGAGATTTACCACCACAGGCAATGGCGGAGCCAGGATGTTCAGGTAGGGGGGCAACCCCTCCAGCACTGAAAAATGATAGAGGAGTTGTTAGTAAGTAAAGACTTGTTAGTAAGTAAGGACTTGTTAGTAAGGAGTTGTTAGTTAGTAAGGAGTTGTTAGTAAGGAGTTGTTAGTGAGTAAGGAGTTGTTAGTAAGTAAAGAGTTGTTAGTAAGGAGTTGTTAGTTAGTAAGGAGTTGTTAGTAAGTAAAGAGTTGTTAGTAAGGAGTTGTTAGTAAGTAAAGAGTTGTTAGTAAGGAGTTGTTAGTGAGTAAGGAGTTGTTACTAAGTAAGGAGTTGTTAGTAAGGACTTGTTGGTGAGTAAGGAGTTGTTAGTGAGTAAGGAGTTGTTTGTAAGGAGTTGTTAGTAAGTAAGGAGTTGTTAGTATATAAGGAGTTGTTAGTAAGTAAGGCGTTGTTAGTAAGTACTTGTTAGTAAGTAATGAGTTGTTAGCAAGTAAGGACTTGTTAGTGATTAAGGAATTGTTCGTGAGTAAGGAGTTGTTAGTAAGTAAGGAGTTGTTAGTAAGGAATTGTTAGTAAATAAGGAGGTGTTAGTAAGTAATGAGTTAGTAAGTAAGGACTTGTCCCTTGCTTTTTGTCCGACGCGTGTGCGGCGATGGTACAGTCATCGATCGAGGGTCGAATTCGAACCGCGTTGTGTGATCGGCATCGCGCTCGCTGAAGGTGTCGATGCCTTCAGGGAAGTCGTGGACTCTGTATACACAACTGTGCACAATTCTGTGAGTCACTTATAACTGCTTTGCCGTTACTTATTGTCAATTATGGACTCAGACTATTGTTCTATCATCTCATAGAGTCCCTGGCACGTAGTAATATGCTACACAGTAGCAGTGGGGGGTCGCAAAATGCCGATTTATTACTAACAAACCCCACTGATCTGATCGAAAATAAGGATTTCGATCGAATCATTGGGGGGGGGGCGTGGCCCCCCCCCCCGCCAGTGAGTCCACAGGTGGTACCGCCCCACCCGCCTTGGGCACGTCAAATGATGGCTCTGTGGGGCGATTCGCATCGTCCCTGCACAGCACAACCACTAACTGCCTTCCACCCTTGCTGCAGGGTGCAGGACGAAGTCAGCATGGGACTCTTCGATCTACGGGTGCGCTTCTACATGAACCAATTCTTCCACCAGCCCATCTACTCCTACCCGTACGACGTCGAGCTGGGAGAGCCTCTCTACGCCGAGGTGAGAAGGGCCGAGGTTGAGAACGAGTGGGGTGACGGGGGGGGGAGGAGACGTCAGCGGTGGGTAGAGAAGTGTTCTCCATTGCAGGTCCCGTGGGCCCCGATAGCCTTTAGTGCTGCCCGTGATGTGCGGCTCCCAGCAGTACAAAATGTGAAAACACCACCCCCCCCCCAGCCGCCCCCCCCCCACCCAATCGTGCGGCTGTCAAATGCCCCAATGGTTTCAAATGCGTGGCGGCCCTCAAACTCGTGAAGTGTCATCAGCCAAAGTGCCGAGACCCTGGGGGTAAGAGAGGGAAGAAGTTGTCGTCGTCGCGATTTCGGCCGACGACGACGACGAAGAATCGCGTTGCGTCTCTGTGGCAGGTGGCGCTGACCTCGGCGGCCAGGGACCTTCAGCTCTTCCTGGAGACGTGCAAAGTCTCGCCCTACCCGGGAGCGCCGGACAGCGCCTCCTTTTTCCTGCTCCAGAACGGGTGCGTGCACATGGCTCTCTCCCGTCGCGCGACTTGACCTGGTCGGCGTTGAGCGAATGCAGAATTTCAGGCAATGCGAGTGATTGCGATTTAAAATCGCAGTGGTCCAATCCTTCTCCGCGGTTTTTGTTTCATATTAAATATCAGCACTTCCGAAAGGCCACTTAATTGTAAAGCTGACGGTGCAATTCTGCAATAAGTTCGCGGAATTGTTTTCTGTTCATCCAGCAGGTTAGCCTCTGTACCTGGATTGATGTGCTGCTGTTGCTGCTGCTATATTGAGAGTATTTGGCTGCTATAAATTTCCGCGTGTTAAGTCACTTCGTTGAGCTGTCATTCGTAGTGAGGTTGCTTCTGAAAAAGAGCTACGTAGCTCAGTGAGCCTTAGCTGATTAAAAAAAAAAGACAAAGAGTTGCCAGTGGCGCACAAATAACAACAACAACAAAAACACCTCAACGGCATTCGTCAATTCCACCGCTCTCAAAAGTGAAAAGGCAAAAAACAATGAACGGGATGAAGTTCTGGGCGGTGGCCGTTCTCCCGTTAAGTCACGTGACGTCCGCGTAACCACGCCCCACCCTAAACTCCGCCCCTCGCGCCCACTGTGAAAACAGACGCTGCTCTCCCGTCACTCACGGATGCGATTCAGGGGAGCGCGGCGATTGGCCAGACGGTCACGCGTTGTGACGCGCGTGTATTCTCGTTAGAGCGGCGTCGACGACAAATGCCATCATCTTGTTATTTGTGCAGCACGGGCAAAACACGGCAGCAATTATTTTTTCGGGTGTCGTTTGTAAGCAACGAGACGTCCGCTTTGAAGCAGAGAGATCTCGACCAGGCTCATTATTTTACACGCGACGTTTTTTTTTCATCTCCCCCTCTTACGGGCAGTGGTATTGGCAAAACGAGTTCACTCTTTTCGCTACCCGAGACGAGGACTATTTGCGAGGCCAACCCGCCGCCGCCGTGTGTGTGTGTGTGTGTCTGGTCGGATCATGCAGGTGCCGCGTTGACCCCTCCTACAGCGACTACAACAGCGGCGTCAACGACCGGCGGCGCTTCAGCTTCGACAGCGTGGAGTTCTTCGTCGGCGCGCAGGTGCGGCGCGAGTTTTTGGCGACGGCTATTGGTCAACGGGTAGAATTAGATGCGACATGGTGGCATTGGAATCCGGGTACGCCCGTCCCTCCGGACGTGTGTGTGTGTTTGCGGCAATCCGCTGGAGCGAAATTTGAATAAAAACTCTGCACGACCCCAAGCTTCAAGTTCGATGCCAACCTCCGTTTTAAGTGAATCCGTAAATCGACTCTCACCCCCCCCCCCCCCCCCACAAATCACGTAACTTCTGTGTGGTCACATACCACTATAACCCCCCCCCCCCCCACTCTCCCCGCCACCTCCTGTGAAAACAGACGGTGTTCCATGCATCAGCGTCGATCCCCTTAAGTAGCACCTCCCTCTCCCGATTCATTTTCTCTCGTTTCCCCATTAATTTCCCATCCTTTTCCTCAAGTTTCCCATTAACGATCATCTCTCCTGCCCTTCTCGTTCCCTTTTCATTTTCCATTCATTAGATCATTGATTCTACTCCCTTTACTGTGATGTGGCACAGGTAAATAGTTGCCACTGACCTCGCGATAATCGGGATATCAGTAAAAACCTTGGGTTGCGAGCATAATTCGTTCCGGAAACGTGTTTGTAATCCAAAGCACTCGTATATCAAAGCACTCGTATATCAGTTGTGATCACGTGACGCTCGGCAGACAAAGCGTATACGTACTACTCGTATTTGTAAAACCTCGCTGGTTTATCAAATTAATATTTATTTAAACATGTTTAGCTCGTCTTGCAAAACACTCGCAGACCAAGTTACTCGCAATCCAAGGTTTTACTGTATAATGAAAAGACAAAGTTGTCTCTAAAAGGCTCCTTGTGACAACACCAGAAGACATCATGATGAACTAAAACCAATTTATAAAAGCACAAAAGTAGCACTGTTAGTCACCGTCAAACAATGCGAGATATTTCAGATATTGAAACCAAGTGGTTTAAACAATCTCCAGTCTCCTCGAATCTGTCTATTGATAAATGAACCAGTGAACATTCACTACTTCTGCACTGGAGTAGAAACCACAGATTTGTGAGGGTACACAGGACAGGGGTTTCAGTTAAAATACTGGTCATAGGTCAGACAGACACTCTGAAAACCAGTGAACACGATGAGGTGGTCCCTGACAGCTGTACCTGGATGGATGATGGTGTGATCCCTAGCAGGTGTACCTAGAGTGATGATGACGATGATGATGATGGTGAAGACGATGATGATGGTGAAGACGATGATGATGATGATGGTGAAGACGATGATGATGATGGTGAAGATGATAATGATGGTGAACACAATGAGGTGGTCCCTGACAGCTGTACCTGGATTGATGATGCTGTGATCCCTAGCAGGTGTACCTAGAGTGATGATGATGGTGAAGACGATGATGATGATGATGGTGAAGACGATGATGATGATGGTGAAGACGATGGTGAAGACGATGATGATGATGATGGTGAAGACGATGATGATGATGTCCCTGGCAGGTGTACTTGGAGTGATAATGATGATGATGGTGAAGACGATGATGATGATGCTGACGATGTCCCTGGCAGGTGTACGTAGAGTGATGATGATGATGACGATGTCCCTGGCAGGTGTACCTAGAGTGATGATGATGATGACGATGACGATGTCCCTGGCAGGTGTACCTAGAGTGATGATGATGATGACGATGACAATGTCCCTGGCAGGTGTACCTAGAGTGATGATAATGATGATGATGATGACGATGTCCCTGGCAGGTGTACCTAGAGTGATGATGATAATGATGATGACGATGTCCCTGGCAGGTGTACCTAGAGTGATGATGACAATGATGACGATGTCCCTGGCAGGTGTACCTAGAGTGATGACGATGTCCCTGGCAGGTGTACCTAGAGTGATGATGATGATAACGATGACGATGTCCCTGGCAGGTGTACCTAGAGTGATGACGATGATGACGATGTCCCTGGCAGGTGTACCTAGAGTGATGACGATGATGACGATGTCCCTGGCAGGTGTACCTAGAGTGATGACGATGATGACGATGTCCCTGGCAGGTGTACCTAGAGTGATGACGATGATGACGATGTCCCTGGCAGGTGTACCTAGAGTGATGACGATGATGACGATGTCCCTGGCAGGTGTACCTAAAGGTGATGACGATGATGACGATGTCCCTGGCAGGTGTACCAAGAGTGATGATGATAACGATGACGATGTCCCTGGCAGGTGTACTTGGAGTGTTCGGTGCGCGTGTGCAACGTCTCGGACTGGGGCTCGCGGTGCCGTCGAGGCTGCTTGCGGGGATCGCGGGCGGCACGCGACCTCGGGGAGGCGCGTCACGCCGACCACTCCGTCGACCTGTCCCAGGGCCCCATCAGGCTGCGCAAGACTGGCAGAGGTCAGAGCCCTGGTCCCGTTGTCGCCGCAAGCTCGACCATCCACACGAGGCGTGTCCGGTTGAACCCTGGCAGTCCTCCGAGTTTTGCCGATTGTTGCGGTGATTCGCGATTCGAGCCCCGTGGCCGCCCCGGTTAGTACTGCGGGTTTTGCAAGCTGTGAAACTACACAACGACTGCTTCAGAGTGGATATTAAAGTGTCCGTCACGTTTTGATTTGAAGCTTTCGTGGCTGCAGGAATCCCACACTCTTTGGTTCTTTCGGTAAAGTCACGTAGGGTAGAAAAAATAATAATAAGAGATCACGACGTTTCCGATCGCCACACAAGCAATCGTCACCGAAGAAGCAAAGAGTATGTATGTCATGTTATTCGAAAGGATAGGCCATGTGTAAGAGGCCAAATAGATACATCTGCCATTTTTATTAAATTACCTGAAGATTGCTCAATGAGTAAAACGCGTAGCAATCACCGCCCCCATACTGTGAACTTTACTAGGACCATGCTGTACAAATGGTGGGTTAAATCAAACGGGAGGAAAAAGTCTGCCATTTGCCTCCCCATTTACCTCCGATGATCTTGCCATCTACTAGGACACGTGCAATGTTCAAAACGAAAGACTTTTGTTACCAGTGTGGGAATAGATAAGGCTTCCAGGTGAGGTCGTCTAGGCCCTGAGAGAAGAGGTTGTCAGTAATGGCATTAAAACCAGGGGGGTTTTTTTTCATATCGTGAAATAAAGAGACTTCGTATTGTTGTACTTAAGAGGCCGTCAATGTACTGGCTTGTCTGCCTTGTGCTTTCTTTGCTACAGCTGGTGCGTCCAATTCTGCTTCTGATGCATCTTTTTCCTACTGCTGCTTCTTCTCCTGTCATACATTTGCGACTGTTAGTGCCGCTATTCTGCTGTCACTGCCCTCCCCGCTGTTGCCGATATCCCTACCATTGCTACGGCTGCTGTAGCCTCCAAGCAACTTTCACCTACGTGCCCCTACGTGGGAGGTCACCGATTCTCCTGTGCAGTCACCATGGTCCGAATCTCCCTTGAGCCCTGCCATCAGTGCTATCGACTCCTTGTGCCTGGTCGAGGTCAAGACGCGTGGCGACAATGATGTCGTCGGCCCACCCACCGACCGAATCTCTCCACTCGATGTTTAAGCGCGCCGGTTTTTTTTACACAGCATCTCAAGGATGCGATCGCATTTTTTTTGCACGTTTCATGAATTCACTTTGCATTGCATACTCCCCCTCCCCCCACCCCCCACTACAGCCTCCCTGGAGGAGCATGGTAGCGCTGGGCTGCCTGGCTGGACGGGCATGGTGTACGCCCTGGCTGCCACCCTGGCCGTCAGCGCCGTCTGCGTGGCTGCCGTGAAGATCTACCGGCTCCGCGCCGGAAAGATCCAATACCAACCGCTCGTCGCCACCGATGCCTTCACAACCTGATGAGCTGCACAATTATATTCACAGTCGTAGTGAAAAAGTTGAAGTGCTCGATTCAATTCACGGACGAAGCTAGAACATTGGTATGTCGATTAATTTCAAAGAGCCGTGTTCTTCAAATGATTTGTCAGGCATTTTAATCTCGGATTTTTTTTGTTAATGCCAGTTGTTTTTATTAATGCCTTTCTCTGTTCGTAATCATGTAGTTAGGGTTGTGGCTTTCATCCTTGAACACTGCACATGCAGATCAACGCTTGAGTGATTCTTTGTATTGGGAGATATATTTAATAAATGGCTGAAGTTCAAGTGACGTTGCGTGCTCCTTCTGGATATTGGGGCTGGAGGTTCGTCCAAAGCGTCTCGTCAGCGACACTCTTTGGTTCCTTCGGGAATTTCACGTGGGTATAAAATACCTTTAATCACGACGTTTCGATTGCAACACAAGCAATCATCATCAGGTGGGAAAACCACAGCAAGAAAAATTACAGCAAGAAAAAAGTTTATTGCTGTGGATTTTCCCACCTGATGATGATTGCTTGTGTTGCAATCGAAACGTCGTGATTTAATTTATTTTCTACCCACGTGATTTTACCGAAAGAACCAAAGCGTATGGATCCCTGCAGTCACGAAAACTTCAAATCAGCTTTTCCCTCACCTGGGATTGAGTCATCATCACCGGTGTGGAATACAAGCTTCCACAGAGAACCACCCATCAACAAGGAGGACATTGTCCGTGGGAAAACAGCCGCCCAAAGACGCGACCCAACACTGTTTGTTTAGAATTACTCGTAGATATATTTAGACACTTTTTTTTAAGTCCACGTTTGTTCACTTTGCAGAGAATGTCGTGCAAGCAATCTGTATCGGTCATGAAAAGCCACTTTCCGTTTCCCATCGTTTCTGAACTCGATCATCGTTTCCATGGGACAGCCATCGTCAGCGATGGTCATCAGTGATGATAATGATGACCTCATTAATGGACACACAACGATCTCTCTCGAACCGGAAGAGAGGTGTTCTGCATGGAATCGCTTGCGACGCTGCGTGGTGTGCTGGCGTTTATATTCTTTAGCCGCAGGATAATATTGCTTCCGGCGAAATGTTGCGTGTCAAGCACATTGGTGCATTGCTCCTCAATGCTCAGTTCACACAACGTGATTAAATCGGTGCCCATCACTTGCTACATGTGGATTAGAAACGTGGACATTGAGCAAAAAAATTGCTCAAAAGGCTCAAGTAGCAGGAAAATAATAATTGAGAGGTGCATGGCTAACCTAGAATGTCTGTGCGAGACGGAAGGAACACGTGGATTAGAGATCATAACGCAAGTTTAGCCTAAGGGTGGCGACTACGCACGTGACCTGTAATCCAGCACTGTGGACGCGAGGGTTGATGGACCACACACAAATTTGGCAAAAACTTCCCGTGGGGTTGGGGAACTGCAATACACTGGCCCGCCAGCAGAGGGCAGCACAATAAAGTTAACAAAAAGTCGACTCAACCTTGCCGTGTGTTTTCAGTTTTTTCATTTATTAGGTACCAGCTGTACTACCCGGCTTCGCCCGGGACTTGGATCCACCACGCCCGGCCGCCTTTGTCTCCCCAATGGCAATGTTCACTCACCACAGCAGTTACTCGTTTGAGGCTGAGTCGACCTAGGGGAGGCCCAGAAGCGGTTGAAATAATCGTCACCGGTGGTGGCAGTGAGCGGGAATGCATTATTGAGCTCCCCCCCCCCCCACCAAAAAAAAAGTCTATTTTTATAATTTGTGCATGGTGTACAGTCTGGAAAGTACCCACATGGCAAATGTCCAGTTGTTGCATGTCGGGAAGTACGCTAAACATTTTGAACAGACACACATTCACAACTTTGCCTTTTATATATATGGAGATAACCCTGTGAGCCATGCGGCTCTTGACTCGGGTGCAAACCACAACAAAACAAAAACAAGAAACATCTTAAAGTGACTACATCCTGGGAAAAACAACAGCAAGTCTTCCAGAAAAAAAAAAAACACCGCATTTCAACGCTGTGTGCTAAAAATCCCAGTGGGATGCAATGTGTTGGGTAGTGTTACCCCCCCCCCCTTCGCATGCGTAGGTTGCCGACACGTGCACCAGTTTGCTCCCACATGTAAACGCTCATTAAATTTGCCGATAAACCCTCAGTACATAGAGGACTGCAGAGCTTGGGCAATTATTGGAGCCAGCTCAGCGCGTGGATAGACCCAAATGTTGCGGGACAGTGGCAGCGCAGCGTTGCAAGGTTGACATTCATATTAAAGACGTACTTTTTTAACTAAAGAAAAATTCACACCTGTCAACCCGTACGGTTTACCCCGCATTCTTGTACGGGGAAATTGCGTTTTGAGGTCCATACGGCGTGCAGCCGTTTCAATACGGGCAAAACAAACGTTTTGTTTGTGTTTCTCCCCTTGTGTGATGGGACTTTGTAGGATGAACCTTGAGATTTATAATGGTCAGGGGTGTGAAAAGTGGAGTTGAGAACGAGGGGTTCAGAGGCCAGGGCGCCATCCACGGAGATGGGGCAATGAATGTTCGGGGCACCAGGACGACGAGATTCTGGTACTCTTCATGAAGTAACATGCGGTGGTGCCCATTACGTAATTGCATGACAGCAATGATGTCTTTGTTATTGCATTCCGTCGTTACCTCCGCACGCGGCTGCTGATCTCAGACGCGACTCTGCCGTCGCTATTCTTTGAAATCTAGAACAGGGGTGGTGTCACACGTGGTGCCACACGTGGTGCCACACGTGGTGCCACACGTGGTGTCACACGTGGTGTCACAGGTGGTGTCACAGGTGGTGTCACAGGTGGTGTCACAGGTGGTGTCACACGTGGTGTCACACGTGGTGTCACACGTGGTGTCACACGTGGTGTCACACGTGGTGTCACAGGTGGTGTCACAGGTGGTGTCACACGTGGTGTCACAGGTGGTGTCACAGGTGGTGTCACAGGTGGTGTCACAGGTGGTGTCACACGTGGTGTCACACGTGGTGTCACACGTGGTGTCACAAGTGGTGTCACACGTGGTGCCACACGTGGTGCCACACGTGGTGTCACAGGTGGTGTCACACGTGGTGTCACACGTGGTGTCACAGGTGGTGTCACAGGTTGTGTCACAAGTGGTGTCACAGGTGGTGTCACACGTGGTGTCACAGGTGGATAGACCCAAAATGATGACGCTTCACAACGACGATTTGAGACGAGCAAGCAATGGGCTGCAGAATTTCGAGTTCACACGAGCGATTGCAGGGACAGCCTGAAGGCTTGCGGTTAGAAGCGCTATTCAGCATCATGGTGGCTGCCGATGGTAATCCCAGCTCCTGAAGGCATGAAGATGAGTGGCGATTGGAGCAGCAATTGGGGGAACCTTCGGGGCCAATAGCAGCAGCCCCAAAATGAGAAGCCCGCAAGGAGGTGCAAGCAGTCACTGATGAGAGTGATGGACAGCGAGTGCAACCACGTGTACAGATATAATCTAAACATCACAGCAGGAGCAATAAGGAAGGCGCGATAGCCATTTAGGATGCCTTGGAAGCGTACTTCAGGCCTGCAACAACAACGACAACAAAAATGTGATTCGTGAAAGATTCGCGTTTGGATGCCGCAAGCAGCAGGAGGAGGAAGAAGAAATCGAATCAATTGACAGCTTCGTCGCGCGGCCGAGAGCAGTAACGGAGCGAGTTGTGGCTCACTGAAAGCGGAGATTGTCCGGGACAAGTTCGTTCTCGTCGGGACCAATGAGAGCGCACACAGCCGTCTTCTCGGAGAGCGTGGTCTGTGCTGGCGTGTACAGCGCCCACAAAGTGCCGCACACAGCAAAAAAAAAACACGCGCGCAAGCCGTGGAGCAGGACACCACAGCAAGACGCGACAGATCGAGAGCATCGACACAGCCAGCGAACAGCAAAAGGCGTGAGCCAAAGCAGCTGTTCTTCCTGCCAGGCCTACAGCGTGCAATTGCTGTTGCGATGTACACATGCCGGCAAAGGGGCCGTCCATAAATGACGTCACGCACCTAGGGGGAGGGGGGGGCGTCAAACATTTATGACGAGAGGGGGGGGTTGAGAAATGTGACGTCACATAAAAATGCGCAACTTTAAATAAATATAGACGACACGTTCTATTTAATTAAATAGACTTTTTAATAAATGTTTTCTCCTACATCAGAGTGCAGCGCCACATTAAATACGAACTACAATGACCAATAGTTTAAAGCGATTTGAAGCATGTTTTATATATTTTTTGGGGGGGGGGGGGGGGGGGCAGAGCTTTGTGACGTCATATTTGAGTGGGGGGGGGGGGTCTGACTTTTTCTGACGAAGGGGGGGGGATCAAAAATCGTCCAAAATCGCGTGACGTCATTTATCGACGGCGCCAACGAGCAGCGTCCACCAGTATACGGGGGACAGGCGTGTGTGTACGTCGCTTGTCCAAGCCACGACGTCGCTTGTCCAAGCCACGACGTCGCTTGTCCAAGCCACGACGTCGCTTGTCCAAGCCACGACGTCGCTTGTCCAAGCCACGACGTCGCTTGTCCAAGCCACGACGTCGCTTGTCCAAGCCACGACGTCGCTTGTCCAAGCCACGACGTCGCTTGTCCAAGCCACGACGTCGCTTGTCCAAGCCACGACGTCGCTTGTCCAAGCCACGACGTCGCTTGTCCAAGCCACGACGTCGCTTGTCCAAGCCACGACGTCGCTTGTCCAAGCCACGACGTCGCTTGTCCAAGCCACGACGTCGCTTGTCCAAGCCACGACGTCGCTTGTCCAAGCCACGACGTCGCTTGTCCAAGCCACGACGTCGCTTGTCCAAGCCACGACGTCGCTTGTCCAAGCCACGACGTCGCTTGTCCAAGCCACGACGTCGCTTGTCCAAGCCACGACGTCGCTTGTCCAAGCCACGACGTCGCTTGTCCAAGCCACGACGTCGCTTGTCCAAGCCACGACGTCGCTTGTCCAAGCCACGACGTCGCTTGTCCAAGCCACGACGTCGCTTGTCCAAGCCACGACGTCGCTTGTCCAAGCCACGACGTCGCTTGTCCAAGCCACGACGTCGCTTGTCCAAGCCACGACGTCGCTTGTCCAAGCCACGACGTCGCTTGTCCAAGCCACGACGTCGCTTGTCCAAGCCACGACGTCGCTTGTCCAAGCCACGACGTCGCTTGTCCAAGCCACGACGTCGCTTGTCCAAGCCACGACGTCGCTTGTCCAAGCCACGACGTCGCTTGTCCAAGCCACGACGTCGCTTGTCCAAGCCACGACGTCGCTTGTCCAAGCCA